GGGGGGGGGGGGGGGGAGGCAAGGTTGAGAGCTTGCTTGCGTGCCCACGTCGGGGAAGACAAGCACGATCGGGACGCAGCGTACCGAAAAAGTCGGTTTTACGGAGCCCTACTGCCGAGACCACTGCCACCGCCCCAAGGGAATTAAAAAAACATGAGTCCACGTGAGGTCAAACTCCCGGTCGCCTTGAAGCAAACTGAGGTGAGTGGGCACAGGGGTTGGAAAGACCGCGGATGGGTTTGACCTACGGGTGATGGTCACTTTCATGGGCGGTCCCACGGAGGCCTGTGCGCGAGAATGGGCGGTGCTGCGCGAGCCGACACCGCCCGTGTTGGAACGTGGCCGTCCTGCCATTGTCGGCGGTGCTGCTATGTGTTATGGGCCATGCTCTGCCCCTGCTCCTACTGAGGATCAGGCAACGTAATGGGTTCTATCGCTTCTGCATACAAGGGGCGGAGGAGGGCAGGCGTCATACGAGGGGGGCGATTGTGAGACAGGCCAACCGTTGTCAATGCAAATGCACGTGATGATCCCTGTCCTTGCTCCTTCAGCACAGGGCGACCTTGACCACAAGCCCAAGGAGCGATGCGCAAAACGGAGAAGGGGAGCGGAGGCGCGAGAGCCAGAGCGAGCGAGGGGCGCGGCACCAACTTTTGATTTCAGATCTCTCTCTCTCTCTCTCTTTTAAAAAAAAAAAAAAAAAAAAAACAGAAAAAAATCAGTTTTCGGAATTAAACTTTTTGGTTTTAGAGAGCTTTCAATCGTTCAGAGAGGATGAGAGATGAAGCACTGGAGATGACAAAGCGATGGCATTTTTGGTACAAAATTCAATGTTGTGCAGAGGTTCATCAGAGACTGCCCGCGCACATTTCCACGACAACTTTAAGCCGGATATCCACTAGTGTGCTGGATATCACACTAACGTAATACTCAAGTGTAACAAAGCGTACAGTTTCTCTTATGAGCTTCAAAGCATGGTACGGCGACGAGACTGCCTGCTGCCTGCTCGGCGCGTCTTGCTGCCTGCCTGCTCGGCTCGTCTTGCTGCCGGCTCGGCGCGTCGAGGGAGATGGTGGCCTGTTTTGGTCAGGCGAAACGAAAGGGGAAGGGCCTGGCGTTGATGTATGGGTGTCGGGGCTTGCAGTGTGGCTACTTTGCACGTGTATATGTGTGTGTGTGTGTGTGGATAAAATGGATTTCTAGAGTGTACTCGGGTTGGCCTGGCTCGCGTGCGGCTCGGTAGCTCATGGCGCAGGGTCAACATGCTGAAATAGGCGCGGCAAGAGTTCATCTCCCCCGAGGGGTTGCGGTTGGATGGTCGACGTGCAGACGAGCTGCGCAGCGTCAAGGCCAAGCTCGGCGTGTTTGAGCAGGCCGACGGCTCGGCGTATGTGGAGCAGGGCAATACCAAAGTGCTGGCCATTATCAATGGACCTCATGACGTACGTGTGGTGTCGGCAGCGACTGCTACACTTGTACCTGCTTCAGCCTAGCTCATGCCATGCTATGTTGTTTTGCATGTGTGTGCATATGTGTGTGTGCGCGCGCGCCCTGTGGCCACCTCTCTTTGTTCAGAGCGATGCGCGTGGTCCCAATGCCAGTGGGCATCTGACCGTCAGCTGCGAGTTTATTTACGCCAGCTTTAGTACAGATCAACGCCGCGCGCGAAGTCGTCTCGACCGGTCCGTTTTCAATCTGGCCCAAACACAGGGCTTGAGGAGCACGACTCAGAAATTCTTGGGTTCATTTCTTCTTGTTTTCTCATTGTTGTGCCGTTGTGCTTGTCTGGGTGTGCGGGGGCGGGCTGACAGAAAGCTAGCAGAGCAGGGCACGCGAATTGCACGAACGCTCGAGTCGGTGGTCATGGGTCAATTGCTGTCGCGATCAACGATCAATCTGAACGTGCAGGTGTTGCAAGCTGACGGGGGAGTTTTGGCGACTGCCATCAACGCAGCTAGTCTGGCCATGATGGACGCAGGCGTGCCGATGAAGGTTTGTGCTTGCTTCTGACGATTTCTCCCCGAGCCTGGGTGAAACACCCAATCACTGGATCAAAACGCAGGGCTGTGTTTTCAATATGATTGGCTTGTTGGCTTGCGCGTATGTGTGTGTATGTGTGTATATGTGTATGTGTGTGTGTGCGTGTCTTCAAAATAGGATTTTCTGTGTGCATGCAATGCCGGTGTTTTGGAGGGTGTGGCCGTGCTTGGTGAGTGATCCTGGGCTGTAAAATGGCGCAAGCCCGTGACACATTATCGTGGACTGGGTCTTTATCGGGGGAGGGGGAGTGGCAATGCAAGGACATGTCTCGGGCGTTGCGGTACTGTAGTGTTCATGAGGCATGGCTGGGGCGGTAGACACCAATCATTCTGAAGCATTGGCTCGTGGACCTGATCTTACCGTGGCCGTAATGCCACGCACCAATACCATCGTCTTGAATCAGGTGTGGTCTTGCGAGGGGTTCACTACCGTGTGTGCGTGTGTGCGTGTCACATGTGGAAACGTGCTTTGGACTTGAGACTGACCGTGCGTGAACGCTGTGTTTTCTTGATGGTATGGCGCATGGGTTGGACCACCTGGTCAGCTCGAATCGCGCGTACATTTGGATTTGTATGGAGATTTGCAGGACCTGGTCCTCAAGGGCTGTCAGGCTGTGCATGTGCTGTTGAAGCAAGTGGTGGAGGAGCGAGTGGCAAGTTTGGCATCAACATTCAGTCATCGGCTCTAGACTGAGCACAAGCGTGTCCCAAGCCAGTCGAGTCGGAGTGTTGCAATCTTGGCTTCTTGGCTGAGCCAATCTGGCCCTGCAACAACGTATTGGCTGATCTTTAGATCTGTGTTCCTGTTTTTTTTTTTTTTTCTGTATTTTCACGTAAACTGTCAGTTCTTTTTTTTTTTTCTTATAACCTTGCTTTGTCAACCATGTTCTCCATGCTCTGGACCAGCCAGACACTCTTGGGTGTTGGATCAGGCCTGGCCATGAGAGCGTGAGGGCGGCGTCGGGGGCCTTTTGGGGCGGGAAACGGTCAAGCCACTTGGTCCTTCATGCTCATGTGCGAGAATGGACGTCTGACGAAGGAGTGTGGCAGTGGGCACACAAACTGCATCTTCTGACCTGTCATGAGGTAGGATGAAAAACGTCAGACAAACTTTGAATTGACCATGGCCCTAAAACTTTTGTATCATCTTGGTATGAAAACATGATCCAAAATAATAGCTACCACGCGTCAGTACCATGTGCTGCACCGACGGTCCTCCTTTTGGCCCAGATTGTTTTGAGCAACGACAACTTTAGCCCAGTTTGGTTAATGTCACATCCCTAGGCGTATTCGTATGGTGTTTAGGGGTCGAGTTTGTTTGCAGTGTGCTCTCCCTGCCTCTCGCTCTCTCTCTCTCGCGCTGTGCTCTCTCTCTCGGTTCGCTGGTCTCTGTCCTGTCTCTGACTCTGGTCTCTGTCTGTCTGCCTCCCTCCCTCTCACTCACTCTCTCTCACACACTCCCTCTCTCTCCCTCCTTCCTATGGGCGACGTGAGCTCGAGTAGGCTTTGAAGGGGAAACACCCTTCAAGGCACGGTCGATCGGGCGCGCGCAGTCGAAGGCGTCAAGTGTTCCTGAACTGTTCTTGTTGGTCCGGTTTCGGTGAGGACGACATGAAAAGAGGAAAGTTGTTGATGTTGGGGAGATGGACATGGGGGCCTTATGAAACTTGGCTGTGTCCGCCGACCCGTCCCAGCAGAAGTAATCCAATAATCCATACGTGCCAGATTATCAAGGCGAGGAGGAGGTGTGTGTGGTGCGCGA